ATAAAAGACTTAATGGATGCATGAAGCCCTTAAACCCATAAAGTTGGCACCTTTATGCCAAAAGAGCTCACGAGGATCATAAATCTGAAAGAATAAACATTTGGGACTTCTACTTCCCCATCAACAACCCATCAATGGATAAAAGCATACAATCTAACCCAAGAAGAGATCTAAGCAAATATTAAGCAAGGTTAAAACTTTATACCTGAAATGTGCTAGAAATGGAGCAAAGAATCAAGATCTGAAAGCTCCTACTTGAACCACCACCTTGCACCAAGCTTCTCTTCCTTCAATGAGCTTCAAACACACCAAAACACACCTACAATGAGCTCACAACACTCAAGGAGGCTCTAGGGTTTCGAGATTAGGGTTAAGGACTATGGAGGCTGGGAATGAGGCCAACACCTGCGACTTAGGGTGTTTAAATAGGGTGCAAAACCCTAAAATTAGGGTTTCTCAATCAGCGTCCAACTCGTCGAGTTTCCTTCACCAACTCGCCGAGTTGGTCCATAAAAACGCATGACCCAAAAGCCTCCAACACGTCGAGTTGCCCCGCCATCAACTCGACGAGTTGGTCCTTAAAAAGGGGATTTATTCCACAATTGATCTTCTATGTTATGGGTGTTACAGAGACCCATCAATCGTGAGACATATGCGAGAACGAGATGCAAGATCAGCACTTACGAGACCCATAAAATACGATCATCACCACGAAACACCAAACTTCAATCTGATTGCCTTGTAATTCCGATTCATTGCAGAATATGATATTTGCACATCCGATTTCTAACAATGCCTTCGTTTCGATTGCTAGTTCAAACTCCAATTGTGAAGCCTTCGCATATATTGCATTCGATCAAAACAACGGACAATCATTCCAATTTTGACTTTCTCTGTTTGACTTTTCATTTACCCATCGAAACTGATTCTTGACAAACACCAAAATTAAATTTATACACATCAATTTTCAGATTAAACACACTGATTCAACAATAATCATCATGTTCTTCATCTGTTCTCGAATGTCAGTTCTTCAAAATCATGGTTTCACAAAGAGTTCATTCAAGCCACCAAATCATCATTTTCATATCAAAATTGACTTAGCAATCGGATTACATGAGTATCTATCAACAACAATCATCAAAGTTATCAATCATTCATCAAACACTGATTCATCGATTCCGTCCATAAAACATTGATCACTCGATCGAAACTTTAAATCAATTTAGATTCGACTCAAGAACACTCGATGATTGTAAAAAAAACGAATAAAGATGAAGATTGAAACAACTCAATATGATTGATAACATAGCGTGAAGAAACAATCAAATGTAAGATTTGTAAATTTCAATTCACCGAAAGAACAATGTGTGCGTGAATAACCAAATTAAAGATGTCGTGAATCAATTTGACGAAAATATGAAAACAATCATATGTGAATGATATGAGTTTGGGCTCAAAATCCGTTTATGAACATTATCAGATTGAGTTTTTGGGATTAATCAATGTAAATTAGACTCGATAAAAAAAAAGAATGATTTTGAGCTAAAATTTGGATAATGAATAATAATGAACTAAGAAATGGATCACGAATAGCAACGAATCAAAAGATTCTGGGCTAAATCAAAAGAAATGTATTGGATCAACAAATTTGACATGAAAATAAATTAGATACAATGGAGAGACTCACCAAATATTTCAAATTTTTTGTCGATCACGCAAAAATGCTGTCATCTAGGATCGCTGTTCTTGAAATAGTTGCTTAAGCCTTTTAGATTAAGTTCTGATATCATATGTAAGATCCCATGGAAATGATAATTACGGAATTAAGAACATGCACAATCGAAAAGACACGAATTAACGTTTAAGCACAAATTTTATAGATAATTGAGTAGTAAAAAATTTGTATAAGCATTTGCATGCTTGTATACAATACTCTCTCTCTCTCTCTCTCTCTCTATATATATATATATATATATATATATATATATATATATATAT